GTGTTGTTTTGTTGTTGTTGTGTGTATGTATGATTGTTGTCAGTATTAGTAGTGTGTATATGTGTGTGTGTGTATATATATCGTACTGTGTGTGTGTGTGTTGTGTTGTGTGTGTGTGTGTGTTGTGTTGTGTGTGTGTGTGTGTTGTGTTGTGTGGGTGGGTGGTGGTGGGTGTTTTGTGTGTGTGTGTATGTGTGTGTGTGTGTGTGTGTGTGTGTTTAGTATTGATATGTTCATATTCATGTGCACATATTCGTACACATATCTGTGTGCGAGAGTATGTGTGCGAGATATTGTGTACTACACGGACTTTAGTTTCGAATCATCACTTGTAGATATCTCAGAGACTGACATCTCCGCGTTTCCTATGTTTTGTCCAGATCGAAGTACTTTCAGAAGTCCTGAACTCGAAGACATGCTTGTTCCTGGAACGATGGGGTCGCTATCTAAACGATGACGAGCTGCAACTAATCGGGACAGCATCCAATGATTTACAAGTATGTCCCCAATTTATTGAGGAACTGTGCACTGCCCATGTCCTCTTACTATGTTTTCATATATACTATGACTGTATATACTACAGATAGATGCAAATAGATGTACATGCATCCTATGACTGTGTATGCTACAGATAGATGTACATGCATCCTATGACTGTATATACTACAGATAGATGTACATGCATCCTATGACTGTATATACTACAGATATATATACATGCATCCTATGACTGTATATACTACAGATAGATGTACATGCATCCTTTGTCTGTATATACTACAGATAGATGCAGATAGATGTACATGCATCATATGACTGTATATACTACAGATAGATGTACATGCATCCTATGACTGTATATACTACAGATAGATGTTCATGCACCGCATTCAATTCTACGCTCGTGATGACAGATACGACGCGTTGTAGTTGTACTGACATCTCGAAAGTGCAAATCCGACGGGATCAGACTAACCGATGCCGGTTTAGATCTGAGATATTGTCTAGTTAGCGATTTATGATGCTTCAGTTGGATTTTTCAGTTTTCAATTAATTAGTCGCAAGGTGATTAGTAGCGGGTTGGGGCTACACCAGTGCAGCCCATAACTTGTTCTAACTATGTTCGGGGAACAGGCACAGGGGCTCCGAGGTTCATTTCGAGTGGGGTCTTCTTTTGGGCCACTTTCTATTGAGTGTGAGGAGCTTAACTTAAGAATAACGCGTTTCAGAGAGAGAGCCATATGTACTGATTTATTACTGTAGCCATCTACTTAAACTTTCCGCCTCAGTACGTGCATCCATGACGATTGTTTACGGTTTGACGGCGTACCTACATCCGCAAACTGTATGCGATATCCCGTTATCTCCGTCAGAGTCATACACAGTACATTAACAGTCTCCCGTGTGTCCTTCATGTTCATCCATGTTGATCGTTCCTTCTTCTTTTTCTTTTTACATGTACAGGTAACAGGCCTCATTCAGCAGTTTCGATCAAGAGCATCATCGCGGGATAACGTAGTGCGGAATCGCCGATATCTAGCGGTGCAAAAAATGCTGATTGAAGGTATAGCTCACACATACCAATCTTCGCCATTAACACACTAGAACCGTTTGGCATGTGTCTTGCCCGGTCAAGTGCTGTAGATTGAGCTCGTTTCACGATTACATATAGACCGCCCTACGTTGTGGATTTAAGCTGATATTTTGATATATTTGTGGTGCTAATCGTAGCGTGAAGCAATATGTATCAACAAGTGTGTATGGGATACTGTTTTACTTGATTCCGTGGTATGTACTTCGATTTAGTTGGGATAGTCGAGCGCATATATGAATTCATGATTAAAATACGAATACTATAAACAAAACCGTAGGTACCTACTTCGAAGATGTGGCCATGAAAGCTCGAGAGCCCGTTCTGTTCGACCAATATGTGGGGCGGTATATGAACGAAGATGACAGGCATCGCCATGTTAAGCAGAAGGAAAAAGAATACCCTCGAGGTGGTGGTTTCGCTTCGTTTCTAATGCAAGAGATGGGTACGTCAGTGTTTACCGTGGTACTACCTCTAGACTGTACAATCGCTTCACACTTAGAAATGCATGTAGTTTAAGCTGCCAGATCTCTTGTCGTTTGTAGTATGTACTACAAGTATACAAAACCAAAATAGGTTTGGCTCTTCTCTTGTGTCTATCTCCCTATTAGGATGAGTACAGCTGGTGCGGTGCACTTGCACATATGCGTGACTAGTAGGTATTCGACGGGTACGGCAACTAGTGTGTAGTACATCACGTAGTCATATAAATACAGTTCTACTCAATTCCTCTTCCTTTGTCCTTTTGCAGGGCGCACTGAATCCGACAGAGAGCAACGCAGACCAGCCAACACGTCAGAACAAATGCAGTCAGGTATGAATCTGGATACTATTGTGCTAGTTTCTTTGCAACACAGCTGTGTGTTGGTCGCAAATTCGTCGCAAATCTGTTCGCGGTTTTTGTTTGTGGTTCAATCTCCCGATGTCGCTTGAGGCAGGTTGATTGTAAGAGGAGTAAGGTACTTATAGTTCTCCCCACCTTCCCTAGATTTTAATTGCCACCTGAGTGTATATGGCAATCATGGGGTACGTTTGGAGAGTTGTCTATTTAGTTTTAAATGTTCGTTATGAGTCAACAACTGGTTTACAAATTTTTGAGCTGCATATTGGCACAGAACTGTGCATTCTGCCAATGGAGAATTGGAACATTCCATAAGCGCAGAGGTTTGAGACTTTATGTGGTTGTGTGGTTTGATATATGACAGCGTAGTGCTTTTGTATTTATGTGTTGTGAGTCTTTCTCCTGTTATTATTATAAGAGTTGCCAATGCTCGCATTCACTATTTTGCAGATGAGCAGCAAATCGAGGAGTTCGACTCCGAGTCTGATTCTGAGGCAGACGAATCGCGTAACACTACGCAACGGACAGCGCACAACATCGCCGCACAGGATACCTTAAGAAGTCAGAACACTACTTCTAGTGCACTGAGAGAAACACAGCCGTCCGACGATGAAGATGATGTAGTGGATCCGAATGTGGGGCACATAGGTGTGTACCGCATCTCTTCGGGGCGTGTTAAAGTGCTCATAAGTATGCATGAGTTCCATGTCGCCGCTCATTAAATCGTCACACGTCATGCCTGTCACGGCTTCCAGACGGTTTAGCTGTGGTATTAATTTATTTTTGTTCTTTTTTGAAATATTGCTTCCTATTCGGCGTTCAACGGTACACGCTGATTGTCAGAGGATCACTTTCGGTTGTAAACATTGGTTGTCATGCAACACTTTCAGATATACCGAACTTGTATTGGGTACCCGAAGTGGCACTTTGTTTATCTCACTGTCGCAAATCTAGAACACGAATACTATGTTTCTATGTATGAGTACGAAGTACGTATGTATATTTATCCATGAGCGTTGTCAGTGCCGCTACTATATAGACCTTATATGTGTGAATATGTATGTATGTCTATTCGATATTGCTAAATTTTGGGGCTCTTTTTGTTGCTGTGATATTTTCGGAATGTTTGAGCACAATATACTGGCAGCATATTGATCAAATATATACTCAACTTTCATATCATTGATATATTATACATCGTGATCCGTTAGCTAACTTGGATATGCGAGTGCGACTTCAAGATCCTCACATCCATACGATATTAACAATAACTTTTGCCTGTTGTGAATACGTATTTCCCAGTGGACATGTCTCTATTACGAGATGCACGTACTATGGATTTAGAGGGGCGCGCGGCGAGTGGACTCACCCGCGAGGAGAAAGACGAATTACGCTCCGAATTCTTACGCACAATGCAGGAGCGTTTCATAGCTGGCTTGGATTCTGTATGTGAACCAGAATTTTAGTTATAATTTTATATTTTGTTTATGTTTTTGCTGTGTCTGTATCTGCTTGTATATCATTTGATTTGGCGGAGGCCTCGCTTTACTTGGACGATGTTTCATTGCATTACCTCGTGCCTTGTATATATTTGTATTTTAGGTCAATGTAAGTGTCCAGTTATGTTTTTTAAAGAGTTCGACAGGATTGCCTATATGCTTGTGGTGAACACGTACACCACCTGAGGTGCAAGACTATAGCTTGCTAGGCATGCGCACGTATGGGTTGTGTCTCAACAGTGTTTGCCTAGCTAATATACGCACTCAATACTTACCCACTCTAAACACAGGATTTTGATTACCGGTCCGTCGATGATGACGATGTATTGGATCTCGAGAGTAAAGAATATGAACAGGATATGGCAGACGCTTACTTCGACGAATGAAGTCCGAAAGTTCCCTAATACGGCAGGCACACCAATCGATGCAGTACCCTGGCTCTCATGCTGTGTCACGTGTGTTTGTATAATAGCCGATTACGTATTTGACACTGGCATCGCTGATCGAACGCTGCAAACCGTGCATAGGACGCGAAATTCCGCGCAGAGGATTCATAACATACTGTCAATCGTCGCTCAGAGCACCTTATTGAGTTAACATGGGTACTATACCTGTTCATCGACGTACTATTCGAGCGTAACGGAAACGAGCCACATCGCATTTGCTGGGTTATTCATTATTCCTTTGCTGAATGGGGTGACTTCCAATTACTTCAGCTGTTACATCTTCTGGTGCACAATTATGTATGCCAGATGTCTTGTTGAACTTTAGTTCCTCTGCGCTGAAAACAGATTTCATTGGCCATTTATCTTTAGTCGCACCTATTTTTACCACAACCAAGCGTTTTCAGAGCTACAGCAACCGCAAAAAAAACTACCCTTAAACTATTTCATTTACTGAAATTACTGGGATAGGAACTTTTCACGTTGGCCTTATATTTTTATATCAAGTTGCATGCGGATATAATGCTTGTGAAAGTATTTGATTTCACAAGGTGAGTTCGGTATAAAGGAAAATTTGGAGAAGTATTTTACTATCCCAATCGATGTAGCATCTGGGTACTACAAAATGCTCGGCCAACCCGCAATCCTCGTATTGCCGAAATCTAAAGTTTCTAACACTCGCCGATATCAGTCAACAGAACATAGCTAGACTGGAATACACTGTTTCGGGCGCTTCGTGAGAGTAACACTCAAAAACATTGGGAATAGCGAAGCGAAATATTACGCAACATAAATACATAAAGACTCAGTAAGCTTCACTCTGAGCAAGACTTTTCTATTGGAGAGAACCCCAGTCGAGGACGAGTCTACTATTTCCTATGGTACATTTTTTCTAGTCAATCTCGTGCTCTACGCAAACACCTCAGTGACAAATTATACGAGGAAACAAAGGAAATCTCTTATGTCTATATCGTGTGATGGAGCAATGCGGCGTGTCTATGACATGCACAATATACTACCCACAATATTATAATTTCGTATTGCACTTATAGTGAATTTCCGCTCTCATTACCTCTATACGTACTATTCCCGCTCTCATTTTGTTTTATATAATGAATTTTGTACTCTACACGATCACGTTAGTGTGAAATCGCACCACTCCTATCAATTGTTTATAACGTTCACAAATTCCCGCTTTCATTCCTCTAAACGTTCCCTTCACTAAAAGCTAAATAACCTGTAAACATCTCGCACACCAGTTTAATGACTGTCGAAATTGTGACTTCACTACGCAGATTTGAGTAAGTTCCAATACCTTTCCACAGAAACTGAAGTATTCAGATAGCTCCCGTACCGTGACACAATTCCAGATCGTGCGAATATTTCAAATGTGTGATGACTATCGAATACAAGTGGTAAATGATCTGCTCATAAGTTTGCGCGTAGACAAGCAAGGTTGATCTTGATATGGGTATGAAGTTTATCGTCTAGGGTGCAGTACTCTTTTTCATAAATAATAGCAGGATATAGATGGTGAACATAGTACGGTTAGCTTGTGTACTGGCACATCCAAGCTGACCAACGAGCTTAGTTTTGGAGAGTATATGCACGGTTAAAGAATGCAAGTGGCAGTTTCCAAAAGGAAAAGAAATTGATTTGTATTAGCTAAAAATCTTGTTTAGCACCCAAGCTCATATTGTAGTTTTAACTACTTTTGGTCATAGTCTCTTTCGTCGTTCCATTCCTATCGTAGTACGCTTTCTCACTACAATAATATTATAAAGTGCTATATTACATAAATGATTAAGTGAATTGAAATATTTACGTGTTAAACTTGTATAAAAATGTGAAAAGCTGTCCATTGTACGATCCTCGAAGCTGTCGTGTGAAAACCCATCATCGATCGTTATCAACTCTTGTACAAAATCCCTCGCTTTCTACCGGGTTAGATTTTTGCAATTGCATTCTATATATTGAAAA